TCTCCCCGACGGGCTTGGCGGTCCCTACACGGCCGGGCCGGTCACCATCGCGGCAGCAACAAGTGCCGGGCTCCCTCCTCGGGACGGGTGGCGGCGGAGCCGGAGGAGGGGTCACAGCTCCGCTGGGAGGGGGCAGCTGCCGCGCGCCAGGCAGCGGGGAGCGGTCACGTCCCGCCTCGCAGGACAGGGCGGATGCAGGGAGGGGCAGACTGCCCCGCTCCAGGCTCCCGGCCGGTGTCCTCGCGAAGCGGCGTCTCGGGGTGGCACAGCGGCGGAAAATGACGCTTCGCTGCCGGCCTCTCTCCCGCTCGCTCTCTCGCTCGCCCTGTGGTGGAGCGGGGCCCGGGCGGCTCCGCTTCCTGCGGGGCGGCACCAGCGGCACCTCCGCCCCCTCCGCCCTCGCTCCCGCCCGCCGCCGGCGCGTGCGCTCCGCGCTCCCGCCCCTCTTCCCGCGCTCCCGGAACCGCCTCGCGCCCCTCGCGCCCCTCCCGCCGCTCCGCCGACGGCGCACGCGCAGCAGCGCGCGCCCCCCACGGCTCCTCCGTCCCCCCGCGCTTGCGCACGCGCCGCTCCGGCAGTACGCGCGAGGCCCTCCCCCGCCAGCGGCTCGGGCCCGGCACAGGCGGGGGGAAAAGGCGGGGCTTGTCCTTCCCACGTGACGCGGTAGCGGCGGCCCCAGCCAATAGGAGCGCGCGGAGGCTCCGGGCGGGTAAGTCGGTGTCGGACTCAAGATGGAGGGGGCGCCCTCCCCCCCCCCCTCCCCCCCCCCATACTTCAGAGCAGGATGGCAGCGCTGGCGTGGTGCTCGAGTGCTCGTCTCTCCTTTTTCTCCTGTTTCCCTTTAGTTCGCTGTGTGCCGTCACGGGAGGGGCGTGTGGCAGAGGGACCCTTTTTTCTCTGACCTGGAGGACACCCCACGCCTCTCTTCCTACCGCTCCACCATCCCGTACAGGAGGGGTGTCCCCAGCCCTGTGGCCAAGGGGGAGGCTCCCTAGGCGAGGGACAGCTTCCCCTCAGTGCTGGCTGGGTGCCCTGAGGCCCCAGTCCTGCCGCGGGAGCCGAAGGGCCATGAGGGGCTCTCTGTGTGTCAGGAGCGCTGTGTGGGCAGGTGGTGCCACCTGGGGGACTTGGGTTTGGACGCGGGACTCTGAGGAACGTGTTGATAGTAAAAGAAGACGTTGGAAGACTTTCTTTTGTTTGCGGTCCGGTGCTGTTCCTAGACTGGTTTATCTTCTGTCATAGCAGGGTGTGATGTTCTTGTGCTGTCCGTTTGGTATCTTCGATATCTTATTTAATCACTGGGACAGGCCTGAATTTCCTTATCTCACAACCTTGTCTTCCCACAAGTGATTCCTTCCTCACCCTGAAGTATAATTGTATTTTAATAGTTGTGTTGTGTACATGCCACCAAATGTGGGGCGTTTCCTCGCTTGAAAGCAAGAGGCGTTCCCGTTGCCTGGATTAGGGGCAATTAGCAGACACGGGGACAGAGTTTGGGTTGATGAGCAGGAAGTCGATCCAGCAGCAGCTGAGGCGATGCTGAGACCTCAGAGACATCTGACAGTGAGACAAACACCCAGAGAAAATCGTGTAATACCTTATCCTCGTATGAACCTGAGTGCCTGCAATTGCCATTAACTTAAGCTGCATGATGGGCTTCTAAAGATCAAGCTTCTGGTGTGCATCATTCCCCTGACCATTTTATTAGCCTGACAGTGGTTTGCTCTATAAGGAGGGTAGTCCGTGTATAAATTCAGTAATAATAATGAGGCATTGAGATGCCCCTGACACAAAGCGTTTATGAATCGAACAACAGTGTTCTGTCATGAGTCAATTTCTTTAAACTGTATAAAATCAGTTTCACGGGTAGTCCCACCCTGTGAATAGAGAGCCTTTCAAGTACTCTTGCTAAACTGATTTGTTGTAATAATCAGCATTTGTTTTTCAAAAATGATATTGGGCTTTGTGAGTTCCTTGTAATGACAGCTTGGCCACGAGGGGAAAACCAAGAAACAACTGCAATCCAGAGGAACTGTTTTATCTTCTGTCATCTGGTTGGATGTCTCCACCTACCAATTTCATATGGAAGTTTCATTCAGATAGTTTGAATTAAATACAATAGTAATAGTGTGTTAACAGCAGCAATTTAGCTTCTGATGCTTTAATTTTTAAAGGTCAGTTTGTTTTTCCTCTCTATTTTTTTTTGCCCCTTCAGGTGGGATGATAGCTTTGATTTGGATGTTAAAATAGAATGATGGCTTAAATAATAATTTTTGTTAATATTTTTAATTTAATATTTTGGTTATAACTTGCTTTCTCTTGGATAAAAAGTGCTTTGTGACTGATTTCTGTAGGTTTATTTAAGCTGACTGTTTGATAGAGGATGCGGGGAAAAAAGGAATCCAAAGCCATAGCATGAATTCCTTGTATTTAGGCAGGATTATCTTTTCTTTAGCCTCAGCGTTAATGGCAATGGAGTGGGGGGGGAGGAGGTGGTGCTATTTACGTGAGGTTGTTAGAGTTTGTAATAACTGGAAAGAAATGCAAAACTAAAATAAAATTTCCTAAGTTATATGTGGATGAATGAAGTTGAGCTGGCAGTTCTGGGCTGGGATAGCAGGGCCTGGTTCTGCCTCAGCTCTGTTGATAGATGTTGGGCTGTGCACAGTTCACACACAGCATCTCTGTCGTGTGTCCATTTGTGTGTGACAAAAGAGGCTTGCTGGGAACAAAACATCCATGCCATCCTACCAATGACTGAGTGTCAGCAGGTACTGCATGTGTGTTGCTTTAGACTTGTATAAACAAAGTCTTCCTGTTCCAGGGAGCTTTTAATTCATATAATATTGAAAATATAAGATGAAACTCTGGCACAAGAAAGGAATAATTAATCTAGTGATAAAGTTTTGCTCTTAACTTTTTCATTTTTACTCTTGAACAAGTAATTCAAGATGAAACCAGGATATATGAAAACTGTGACTCCATCTTATTCCCGTATTCTTTTACTCTGGAGTTACAGCTTGCAACTCAGTCCTGAAAATATAAGGTGAAGGTTAAGTGCTAGTAGCAAATCCTTCCCAATTTGCTGTGACTTCCTGGTTTGGAGGAGGCTGTATGAAGCCTGGATTTTGTGTGGGGGTTTTTTTTTGTTCCTGATAGCAGGAGTTTTTAGCAACTGTAAATGTTTCCAGATGGTAAGGATAAAAAGGTAAAAGTGAATCATATTAAAATTTCTCCTTTAAGAATTTAAAGCAATGTTTTTTGAAAATTCATTGTTTCCTTTAAATGCCAGAGGAAGATGTTAAAGAACTATCTTGATTGTGCATCAAATATACTGGCTTAACATAGCTGTAAACTCTTTATTACAATCTTTTTCATCTCTTTGTGAATTAGAAGTCCCCTTTATAGTTTCTGTTGTTCAATATCATCCTCCTTTCTCAGTGACTCAATCACTTACACTTGCCACTGTTCCTAACTCTCCCTTTGTTTCTTTTAAACTGCTCCAATTTCTCTTAATTGAAAGTAAACACTTCAGAAATTTAGTTTGAATTATGTTCTTCACAGCATATATTGCCTTTTCACTGCAGTCCTACATTCTGTCTTCAGTTTTTTCAAAATATTTAATGGTATATTTTTATATTGTCTTGACTTTCTGTCCACCCACACTTGCACTTATCTCCAAAATTTTTTCTGGTGATTGAGCTCATTGAATTGCTGTAAGGTCACAGGTGGCTTATTCGTGGTTAAATCTGAAGTGTAATTCTTGTTTCATCCATCTTAATCTATCTGTCATCTTTGGCACTTAGCACTGTCCTTTCTGTTTCCTTTAATCGATATACTGTGTGTTTCTATTGATATTTTCCAGTTATGTGGTGGCATTTTTTACATAGGAAATCTGCGATTTCCCAAGTTAATGTTTTGTGCTGTATTGGGCTCATTTCAGTTCTAAGCACCAATGAAGCTTCTAGATCACTCTAGTTAATCCAGTGCAGGAAGATGACCACAGTCCTGGTCACGCTGTCCACACTACTTCTGATACAAGCCAGGATGCCACTGGCCTTCTTGGCCACCTGGGAAACTCCTGGTTCATGATAAGCTGCTGTTGACCAGTGCCCCTGGGTTCTTTTCCTCTGGGCCACTTTCCAGCCACTGTCTCCCAGCCTGTAGCCCTGCCTGCGGCTCTTGTGACCCAAGTGCAGGACCTGGCACTTCCCCTTATTGAGCCTCACACCATTGACCTCAGCTCATTGATCCAACCTACCCAGATCCCTCTGCAGAGCCTCCCTGGCCTCCAGCAGATCAGCACTCCTGCCCAGCTTCGTGTTTGTGAATTTACTGAGGGTGCATTCGATCCCCCTATCCAGATCATAGGTACAGATATTAAACAGGACTGTGCCCAACTCTGATCCCTGAGGACAGCCCTTGTGGCACCGTTACCACCAGCTCTGTGCCAGCAAAGAGAGCCCCTGTCCAGACCATGGGCTGCCAGCCTTTCCAGGGGAATGCTGTGGGAGACAGTATTGAAGACTTTTCTGAAGTCCAGGTGGATGACATCCACAGCTCATTAGGTGGATTAATCATAAAAGGACATCAGGTCAGTCAAGCAGGACCTGCCTTCCCAAAAGCCATGGTGGCTGGGCCTGATCCCTTGGTTGTCCTATCCATACTACATATACAGCACTCCTAAAGCCTTTCTAATAAATGTGCCATTGACAGAGCTGTGTCTTGGCGATTCCTCTTTATGTTATGCACAACAAAAAAGAGACTTCGTTTTGTATTCAGTATATTATGAGCCTTTATGATACAAGTAACAGGAATAGTTCGGTCATATATAATATAAACAGGAAAAAAATGATACTATCAGAAGTTGGACACTTGAGCTTGCCCATATCTCATTAGCCAGAATCAATGCTCAGGCTCCTATCAATAATCTGGTTATATTACTATTTGTTACATGGTTTGGGGTTTTTTAATGCCTTATGGCAGGACCAGATAATCTAAGAATTGCCATAGAAACACATGGCATTTGGAAGTTTCAACATATAAGGGTATTACTTTATGTTTGCAGTTAAAAATACATTGAGTGTTAAAATGTTTAGGAATGGGATTGATCTAATTTTGGCTTCAGAAAAGTCTGTATGTTTAATCCAAGTTGGCCATACTTTTTCAGCAGTCAATGGGGAAATGTATCTTCACAGGGCAATTCACCTTCCCCACTTTAGATACTTATATTTATCACAGTATTTAACCATGTGAGGTGAATTTTCCTGGTTACATATAACGGGAGTTCTTCCTACCTATGGAGACATCACTGCCAGCAGAACTCTTGGACTGTGTTTCTCTTGTTGTCAGCAACGCTTCTGGGAATGATGACAGCGCAAATACAATAATTGCCAAACTACCAGAATGTTCCCAAGTAAACCTGTGATGTTTTATTGAATAAGCTTTATCTGAAATAAGATAGCAGAAGAAAAAACAATAATATAAATATCAAAATTTTAATAAGGATCAGGTATTTCAACAAATAGTACAAGAATATTTCTTGGAAACATGGCATGTCAAAAGCATTCAAGTTTTAACATGTTGACTTTATTGAAGCTATAGCAAAAAAGAAATGTTTTTTCTTATTGCTTCCAGTTGATCTGCAAGAAAACCCTCTTCAAGACTGATATTCAGAAATAGTCATATCTTTGTAGGGGAATGAGAGCA